TGACCTTGGGTGGATCACCACCGATCACTGGATTTCTGGGTTTTATTTCATCAGTTTGCTTTTATTTTCTTTTGGGTGCTAGATCCCCCGAGAGTGGGATTACAGATGATTGTCATCATGTAGCTACTGGAGATGTGACACAGGTCCCCTGCAACAGCAGCCAGTTCTCTGAACTAATGAGCCTCCTCAAGCCCTCTGGATTTCTGTTTGTTTTTTAAATGTTAGCTAAAGAACATTTGTAATGGCTGTCTGTATCTATATAACTATTCCTCCATACTTCCCTTTCTCTTTCTTTTTTGAGACAGGGTCTCATGTGGCCCACTTGATTTCAAAACCACTATGTGGCTGAAGATGGCCTTCAGTACTGGATCGTTCTATTGCCTGCATCTGCCAAGTGCAGGGATTGTTAAGTGCATGACACCATATGTAGCTTATTCAACCATTTCTAAAACGATTTCTCGTTATATTAGATTATTAATATTATATGACATCTTTACAGTTTCCTTCAGCTGTGACCATCAGTGTTTCATGAAACCGCTTTGTTGTCCAGAGATAAATGCCAACGGTCAACTCTAGCACGTCAGAATTCTACTATTTCTGCTGTCTGTTCCCACCCTCTCCCCTACTAACGTCTCCTCATTCATTCAATGAACATTTCTTTTGTACATCATACCACATATTAGGCAATGTACTCAAAGCCATGGCTCCCCCATGGAGAGCGTGACTGACACCCTAAAAGAGGTCACAGACATGTGATGTCACTCATTGAGTAAACACACTGATACATGGTTGTAAAACCTTGGCTATGCTGTAAAGGCCAATTCAAGATATCTTGGTAGCATGCAGGAGTCTGATCTAGTTGGGGTACAAGAAAGGACAAGCCTTCCAAAGAGACACGTGAGCTGAGACACAGGAGCTACAGTTGCCTGCTCTTGGGGGTTGGGTAAGGACTGGCCATGGTGGCAGTGCTGTGCTGGGCCTGGTGAAAGGACAGTTTGTAAGTTAGCCTTTCCGAATTCTAGGTGGAGAAAAATACCATTATTTCCTCTGTGGGAAAGAAGGAATTCAGAAAATTTAAAAGTATAAAACTTAAGTCTGCTCTCAGCAAAGTGTTTGCTGAACCCACCCAGCAGCCCACTGAGTCTGCTAAGACTCCACCTGTGTGTGTGTCTCCAACACTTTTAATACCTTGAGAGAGTCACTTGGCTTCCTTGGGTCTTAGATTTCTCATCCATAAAACACGAGGCTAGGGTTTTATGTATATGATTTTAAAGGTCTCTCTCAGATTCAGCATTCCTTGGTTCTAGAAATAAACCAGAATTAGCCAGGGAGAGGCATGGATCCTACAAAGAAGACTTGCGCCTTTATTTGAAAACCAAAAAAAAAAAAAATCATCTTGCATTCATAGTACAAGAAAAAAGGTTGTAGGAAGGGTAGTTATTGAGACGCATGTTAGATGGAGCCAAAAATAGCTGATGCATCGACAGTTATTGCAAGGGAAACTGCGATAGAGCGTTTCCTTGGCAACCGAGTAACCCAAAGGTAAAGTAACTGGATTTGATCAAAGACTGGTTTCTTCACTTCTCTCCTATGAAAGTATGTATGTATGTATGTATGTATGTATGTATGAACTCACGTATGTATGGTTATTATGGTTATTATTATTATTATTATTCAACGTAAAGAGGAAAACGGTTGACAAATCCATTTCACTGAGAAACAAAGGTCATCCACATAATCAAGAAAAGAGCAATCCAGCTGAATCTAAACAAGCAGATGCTCTGGCCAGAGAGAGAGGAGTCCTCAGCCTGTGTGCCCTTGAAGGCATGCACATGGCCTGGAGCGCTGGATCCTTCAAGCTCCTCAAGTGTTCGGGAGCATCAACACCAGAATTCACCTAAACCTGACATATGTCAGTCTGCACAGAGAGCTTTGGATTGCAAACCACTGTCAGTTATTTCCAAAAAGAGAAAAGGACAATGGCTACAGTTTCTTAGCATGCATAGTCAATGCTGCAGGGGTTGCTAGGCAACAGCAGAAAGGCTGTCAAGCATCCCTGGGTGCATCCAATGGAATAGGAGCAACCCAAGCTACTCCAGAGATGTGAGAGGCTGCGCAGTCCTGGAAGATGTGTTCAGTTTGACATTGCTTAAAAAAAAATAAAAAGAAACACAAAACATAAATCTGTTTGTTATGGCCAGAACAGAATGATGGATGTTTTCCTCCAAGATTAATTTAGTTCTGAATACGTTTTCAGTTGGACCAAAGCCGTAGGCATGAGTACACCTAGGTTGCCGAGAGGCTCTGTGCAAGGTCTGCAAATTGTTCTGACCTGATTCACCCCAGAGCTCACGAAGATACAACCTCTGCATTCCAGAGAGCTGACATGGTCCCCTGACGAAAGCTTGAGTTATAGTAACTAAGCTTCTGCTTTAACAAACATTCATATTCAAGGTCACTGCTATGAAGCTCCTCAGGTCTGTGGCCATGTAGCGAGAGTGGTGTTTTAATCTACGGCTTCTTTGTCTTTCTTCTCTGAGATGGCAATCTCATTTCAACTCTGAGAAGACTGGCAAAGAGAGGTCGTCGGGATTTGACAAAGGGTCAAGTACCCTTTCTCTGCCCAACTGCACCTGCAGCACTTCTTAATGAGCAAGCTTTCATCACAGGTCATTAATTTGCAGAAGCATGCTTGGTAAAACCAGAAGGTAACATGAAAGAGTGTGTGTGAGGTGATTCAAAGAATTTGAGTTCGAGCTGGAACAACAAGAGGAGGGTCTAACAGGCAACGTTGACAAGATAGAGGCTTAAAGTGGACTGTGCTGTGGACAGGACAGCAGGAAGGTATATGGTCTTCTAAAGCCCGGGCAAGGTAGGGCAGGGGTGGCTGAGGATCTATGGAAGCGTCGTTACCATCTCTTCATCCCTAGTCATTAGCCATTAGGTCACTTTGGTTTTGTGTTTGCTCAAAGGGATCTGAATGTACAAGTTGCAAATGTCCCAGATTTACCACACAGTACCTTTTCATTAAGGGCATTGCTGAAGTGCGGGAAGTCAGCACAGGGCGGGGATGAGAGGCTACAGTTAACGAAAACTCTCCTGGATGATGCCCACATGCCTGGCCAGGGTCTCTCGGCTATTCCCACACTCTCATGTAGAATCCCCTGATCACCCAGCATTTTCACATACTGTGGGGTGGGGCTGGGGGGTCACATGTACCCCATTGTTAAATGAACTCAGTCTGAAGCCTTGAGTAGGCTTCCTGAGTGGCCTCCAAATAGAGTTTAAAACATGGACCCAACATGGACAGACACAGGTCTCCATTTTCCTGGTTTGATAGAGATGACTTGGCTGGGGTAGACGCTGTGCGAATCTTCCAGCCTGAACACAGACATCTACAAAACTGCAGAAATAACAACGCCTTTGGTCTCATTTATCCCCAAAGGTAAAGAAGATTAAACACAAAAAGCAGAAACTAGAGATAAGACACTGCCAAATGTCCTGGATATGGTATGCTAAAAAAAGGGGGGGGAGGGGACTTTGTCAAGAGACAGAAGGAAGGAGGCAGAAAGAAGAGTAGAATTAATTACTTCCAGCCGCCACCAGTCCTTCCTGCGGCGGCTTCTAAGCCCTCTTTTCCCTTTTCTTTCTCAAGCCCCCATCCATTTTCCTTTGTTGGAGAGACAATGTGTATTTGCCACACTGATAATTCCTAGAACCATAGGCTCTTCACTCATCGAAACCTGTGGCTCTTAAGGGTTTTCCAGGAGTTCATAAACACCACGCCACTCTGGATAGGGCTTATTGAAAATTTTCAGATCACGAGGAAAGGAAAATGTACAATGTTTCTAGCTGGAATAACTAACAAAATCGGCAAGCTGTCTTTTTTTTTTTTTTTTTTTTAGAATGGATGACTTTAAGAATAATTTTATTCTCTTAGCTATCTATCCATGTGTGTATAATATAATAAAGCCTGGTATTATAGTGGAATATGCACCTGATTTCTTAAGGGAATAAAATGTTGCCTAGGTTATACTGACTAAATAAATATGATTCATACAAATGGTCCCTGTTTGGCAGAAACATGACACAACAACAATAACTCAGCCATCTTTCATTAACCTAAGAGGTTGAGTTTTGTAACTTTAGCCACATCCATTTCACACTTAACTCATTTTACAACTGCATGAACTTTCAAATGTTTAGTATCCACATATTAAAAATACCTTGGCGAGTTTTCAGAAAAAAAATATAATTCATGTTACAAAGATCTGCCTAAGTCCATCCATTATGGTACTTTTATTAAGCTCTACAAAGCTCAATGGAAAAGTATCATTTTCAATGTTATTGCTTATCTTATTGAAGTACTGGTCTCCTCTTTTTAGTTTGTAGGATGTGACTGTGATGGAGGATTTTCAGATTTCTTCATTTTGTAGAAACCCTACATTGTGGTGGTGACATCTATAGGAGATGCCACCCGACTCTTGCTGAAACCATGTCTATGCTGTTCAGAAACATCCTGTGGCTTCAGACAGTTGGAAGGGACACATATAGATGGTATATCGGAAAGATCAATGCAACGGAGTCAATAATCCTTCCTTCTTGAATCTAGAAAATGCAAAAGTCCCATGTTGGGGAGTCACCAGCATCTAGAGTCTGAAGAGAGAAACTTGCACTGTAGCTTTGCTGACTGAATTCTCTTTGATCCTATTGACCTGGATCTAGAATCTTCTAAGTATAACTTTGAAAAGTAGCCTAGAGCTAAGCATGGCCTGCAAATTGGAGAGCTCCCACTGTGCCTCCTGCCAGAAGTACTTCTGATGAACAGTTGAATGTGCCCTGGTGCCCTTCTAGCTACACATTTAAGCAAAGGAACCTAAATACATGTGTCCCTTGGAAGACATAATGTACTCCTGGACTAGCTACTAAAGTACAACAGAATCAACCCCCCACATTTTAGTGGACCATGAACAAAGAGATATTCTGGAATGTTCTTTTACCTTCACGGCCACCAGGATCTTATCCTGCTCCGGGCAGAGGTTATAGCACTCCGCTAGGAAAACTTTTCCAAAGGCTCCTTCTCCAAGCTCCCGCTTCAGAACGATGTTGTGTCTCTTGATGTGCTGAACAACTACAAAACAAAGATACCTGTCACTCAACAGAGGCCATGAGATTTGCCATGTCACCATGATGGGCCCTTTCCCTCCCTTGTTCTGCAGAGGAACTGCAGCATCCGTGCCTGTGGTGGACAGTGGGATCCTTTATACAGCTCCTTTGTAGATGTAGCTTTTCATAAAGTCTGAGCGGGGACCAATGTTGTGATTCGGTGGGAATTATCCTCCCTGATAATCCATGCGATTCTGATCTCTGTGAGCCTCTGAGCAAAAGTGTTCATGGATGTAAGGACGCATATTGACATCCTGTGGGCTGGTAGCACACTAAGTGTCAGAGGTGGAGACTGCTCATTAGGAGAGTGTTCTGTAAAGCCAGAGGTGAGTCCACCAACCACTTAAAGCTGAGATTTAACCCCTTCACTGTCACATACTTATTGGAAATTAAGTTACCACTTGGTTCACTTTACATGCTAGTAAGATGCCAAAAAAACATTTAACTTTTTTTTTGCATTTCATTAACACCTTAAAATTGTTTTTCCAAATAGGAGGAAAAGCTGGCAGAAGGGTGGTTAAAGACACAGTCAGCTTCATTGTCTTCCAAACTACAGTTGAAAGTAGTTTCCCCATGCTGAATCTGAGAGCAGAACATAGGTCTTTTCTTTAGGAGATGGGCTGCTGGCATTTGTTGACTTTGTTATGATTTGGGGCATCTGCAAGTGTCCTTTGCCAATGTGTTACCTCCAGATACAGTAAATGTCTCTTTTATACCTTGGGTCACAAATAAGGATTTTGTGATTATATTCCTGATAGGGCCTTAGGATAGTCTGCATACTAAGTTAATGCTATCTATATAAATATTACTGAAAGATCTTGTTTCACAAGTTTGATGACACTCAGTTAACTGAAGCAAAGTATGTAAGCAACAGAGCAGCCCAGCTCTCTGAAAATGAAGGGATGAAAGCCAGGAATGGGGGAAAAAGAAACAAATATAACAACAAAAACCACAATCTGAGGTTCCCGCTCTATTGAGCTAGTAAGAAATTCTTTCAATCTTCTTCCATGGAAGACATCAGGAATTATCCTAATTTGCTCCACTTTCTGTTTCTCTTGGACAAGCCAGGAGGCTCTGCCCATCAAGCCTGGCAGCCCAGCAGTGCCCCTCTTCCAGCTCAAACCTTCAACTTCCCAACTTCCTGTGCACTTCTTGGATCAGTGTCAGCGATTCCACAAGCCCCCATGAGCACTCAGGCTTTGCAGCCTTCTCAAGTGTAGGCCACGCCCAGCCCTGGCTTCTCCCAGCAGGTTGACACCCTCATGTATGTTTCACTGTCCTCCTGGTACACCCATCGCTATTCTGAAGCTTCTCTTAGGAATCCACCAACCTGCATCCTCTCTGCCCTGCCCTTCCTGACATCTTAGATTCTCCGATCACCCAAATGAACACCCACCTCACACAGTCTCTCCTGGGTCTCCTGGGTCTCCTGATACCTCCCATCTTAGAGTTCAGATAACAGAGATCCAGGAACTTGCCTAAGCCCTACATGCACACTAGGCTGTTGTCTGCCCTGCCCCCACCCTTTTGTGGTAGTGAAGAGTCCACAGGCATAGAGGAGAGACTTGGTTTGGTTGTTGGTAACACGCTAGGCTGAATGTTTCTAGGACAGAGAGAGCATCTTAGGGAGGAAAGTGCTTCACCTGTGCTTCACTTTCCTTTCAATTTGTTCTCTTAAGGGGCACTATAATCAGTTCCCTTTAAATTTCCCAAGTTGGGCAAGCTCAGGGAAACCAAGATGAGTAAGTGTCCATCCTGTAAGCAGGAGAAAGTCTCACTTGCTCCCATCCTCTGAAATCAGTTACCCTCAGCTATTCACCTTGGGGACTTGGGTAAAATCACTGCAAATTCAACGTTAAGAATTAAATTAGGGGTGGCGAGATGTCCCAGAAGCTAAAGACAAGCCTGACAAGCTGAATTTGTTGCCTGCAATCACATGATGGAAGGAAAGAACTCTCTGCTTAATGTTGTCCTCTGACCTACACACACACACACACACACACAAATAAGTAAATACATAAATAAACGTAAATATAAAAACGATTAAGGTTTCCAGATCTCCCATAAACTGCTTCCTCTGTTTGAAGGGAAACTCAAGTCAATAGTTGGCTTTGCAAAGTTTCATGGAAAACAGTTTCTTTGAAATCTATCCAGTTCCTATGCCCCCACTCCCTGGTCCCCAAGGAAATATCATTGATGGAATTTTCCAGACTGGAAATTTGGTGTCCTTGGTCATTTGCCTCATGGGCAGTAGAAAGGAGCCGATTTTCAGTATTATATTGCAGTCGTATTATCGTCAATGAGAATAATGCATCAGGCCACAAAGTGGTTGTCCCAGCTTAACTTGCCGCCTGCCTCAGAACGCTAAAATTCAATTCTTGCTATAGATTTCCCCCAGAAGTAAAAATATTATGCACATACAAAGGCAATAAAGTATCAATCCATGTCCATATCCATTACTACTGAATCTAAAACTAATAAAGATATAAATAACTATAGCTCTGTCCACTCAAAGTCTCAAGCAGGAAATGGGTCTTTCCCATTTCCAGGATAATGACATTTCATAGAAACCCTGGCCCCGTGGACACAGCCTGCCCAGCACATGGGTCTTAAAACAAACACCCTTGAGTGCCCTACTTATGCCAAAAACTAAGTGACCTGATGTTTCTCTCTATCTCTGTCTCTTTGTCTCTCTGTCTCTTTGTCTCTCTCTCTCTCAAATATTTATAAGTCTGAGGAGAAAGATGCTAAACAGAAGTAGGGGCTTGCTTTGGGGACACTGTAACCCTCCTAGTTCCTGGGTCGTAGGTGCTGAGCTGCTCAGCATTGGAATCTGTAGACTCAACTTCGTAGCAAGAGGCAGCTTTGCCACTGTCAATACCACCCCTTGCTGACGTAGAAGCAAAGAAGACATTTCACAGTGACTACTCTCTCTACTAGATGTACTTCAGACCTCCACACTGATTTGTAATGGTCTGAACATCCCATAATGAAGAATTTTATTATATTAGGAAACTGCCCCGAACCACAAAACATGAAAGAGAAAAACAGAATATACAGTCATATGACTGACAGTAGTTGGGGGCTATCTCAATGTACAAGTACATGTGGGCTATCTCAATGTATAGCATCAGGCAAATGCACCCAATTGTTGGAAGTACATTGAGTAAAGCGTGCGAATGAGGTTTTAGATTTTCATCTACATTTTTATTCTGATACAAATTGGTACTAAATTTAAAATGAGTATCTAATATCACAGATACAAAAATGCCTGGACAACAAAAGACTAACTATTCGCAGATTATTCTATTGATGAGACAGGACATGCACCAACACTGAGCCACCCTCAAGGAGTCCTTAACGAAACTAAAAACCCAGGCGTGCTCTGCCATCAGTTAATTTTCCCGGCCCACAGAGTGAAGTCCAAAGCCACATCTAGTCTACAGATGACATCACAGTGAATCACCTCCCGTGTGGTCATAGAGAATCCACTTGCTTGTGCTTTTCCAAGCATGGTTCCAACTGAAAAGAGAGAAGAGGCTCCCACCACAGGCTGACCGCTATTCTAGGCCAGAGGATGTATGGAGACTTCGGAGAGTCTCTGTGACAGTCTTCCAGGACATTCTTACCTCCATTTTCACATTCAACAAAAAGAAAGGGCCCTGACAAGCTCAATAATACATCTGAGAGTCTACAGTGAGGAACAGGAAGTCTCACGTCCTTCTTCCCTACGACGCTGTCTTCGGTCTTCAGTGAAGGAAAGAAAGCGCAGGTTTTGCTTTGCCAGCCTGCGGAATCACAGGCCTCCTTTTGTCGATTTAATGAAACAAAGTATCATTAAGCACTCACTACCAGGGTGTTTCCCTGACGCCAAGAAAGGGGATGAGTGCATTCTCCTTGTTCCCACGGAGCTCATGGGGTAACGGTGTGGATGTCTATGGTACTGTCAACTTATATCCCTGCTTGGTTCACAAAATGCTCTCTGTTGAACAGACCATGAAGAAAGACTAAAACTCATGGAACAAATCCAGTCAGGTGACATGGTAAAAACTAAAACGTGGTACTAAGGAGAACGGAACTGTCCAGATCCTATGACCCCTCATGGTAAGTAAGCCTAAGTCAAAACCTGACTCTAACTTCCATTGCTGAAGAAAACCAAAGACCGACATAATTTTAAAAGTTTAGGCTTGATAAAGTAAAAAGGACAGACAACTCCCTTTGTGAAGTAAAATTCTCAGTAGAGTTAATTTTCAAAGGACTAAGACAAGGTGATTTTACAAGGGATTAGCCCAGTGATTGATGTCCATGTCTCTGTCCTAATGGTAAGTAGTGATTTTCCTAAGAAGAGTTCTCATGGCAGAGATCAGTAAAAGAAGTGAGCACTGGGTCTGGAGAGAGGCTCAGTGGTTAGGAGTACTTACTGCCCTCTCAGAGGTCCAGGTCCAATACTCTGCCCTCACATGGCAGCTCACAAACACCTAAAGCACTAGTTCCTGGAAATCTAATCCCCGTTTCTGGCCTCCTCGGGCATGCATGTGGTACACCTACATACATGCAGGAAAGACACCCATATGTGTTTCACTAAAACAAACATTTTTAAGTGAAATAAATATAGAACACAGAAGCCACCCTTGGCCTAAGCTTTGTGCAGGGAATCCGCATGTTCTCAGCAGCATAATCTATGACCATAAGCCTATGAGTACACACAAAGACGCTTTGGGTATGAAGTTAGCAGACGTATGTAATCCCCGTGAACCTGCTGCTGTGTCTAGTTTACACTAGAGGGTCAAAACTCTGACATGGATGAATAAAAGCATGAACATGTAGAAATGGGCATGTTACCAAGACAGGAAATAACAGTGGAAGTCAGCATGGAAGTTGGGAAAGGGACAGGAAGGAGATGGAGGAGGAGGAGGAGGGAGGAGGAGGAGGGAGGAGGAGGAGGGAAGAGGGAGGAGGAGGAGG